TCAGCACAAGGGTTGAGATGCTGTAGATTTTGATACAATTACTTAATTATCATACAGCGATGACCCTTTTAAAATCCTCTGAAGATCTCAGTCTTAATAACATTCAGTGGATGCAGGTTCCGCTGAATGACTCCACACTTTGTGAAAAGTGTATGACCTGGTCAGTTTGAATTAGCCCTGATTTTTATGGTGCCCTCTCCTCTTGGGATTTTAGAGCAGCATGTGTACCTCAATGGTCTTTCTGCTATCACTCATTACCTTATATTCCCGCTACATTGCTTGCTGTCCATCTCCTCTTTAAACTCAAAAATACTAATCGTTTTTGGTCTTTCCTCAAAGAAAATCTTTTCTCCTTCCTAACGATTTTCAATGGCCTTTTCTGTGTGTCCTGGGTTCAGCAGTAGCAGTCATGTTTCTCCTTCTTGGTAGCTGGTGCAGTGCTGTGTTTTGACTTTCGGCCTGGGAACAGAGCTGATAACAATGATGTTTTGGTTTGGCCAAGGACTTTGTGAGCCTCATGCTCTGCCAGGGAGGAGGGGAAGCCAGGAGGAAGCAGAGACAGGACACCTGACCCAAACTGACCAAAGAGGTATTCCATACCACAGCACGTCATGCCCAGGAGGTAACTGGGAGTTAGCCGGAAGGGCTGGGAGACTGCAGGGTTGGAGGAGGTATCGGTCAGAGCTTGGTCAGGCTGGGGGGGGCGAGTTATCGGTCGGCTGGTGGTGAGATGATGTATTCTCTTCCCTTGTTATTTCCTTTATCATTATTATCATTGGTGGTAGCAGTAGTGATTTGTGTTATACCTTAGTTACTAAACTGTTCTTATCTCAACCCGTGGGAGTTGCATTCTTTTCGATTCTCCTCTCCGTCCCTCCGAGAGCAGGGGGAGGGCAAGAAAAGGGGGGGAAGTGAGCGAACGAATTACCTGACTGGGTTTAAACCACGACACTGTGTCTCATTTATTTCTATCTCCTTTAGAGACAAGACTTTCAACTTATGTACTTAAATGACAGACATAATAAGCTCTTCAGCAATCACTTTCATTAATGAAGTCTAACATTTTATTTGCCCTTCTCTCTACATTTTCATACTGAGTAGATGCTTTTTGTGGGATGGCCACACTGAACTCTGTTTTTGGAGGTTTTTTTTACATTTTACAAGTAATTTGGGTGCATGTGTGTACCTACACAAAACTCTCTGCATTCCACCCAGTTTATTGCCAATTCCAGTAGCCTCCAACAAATTCCATTGCCAAAATAAATCTTCTTACTTTTTCTTGTTAAATCATAACTGCTTTTCCAACTCTATTTGCTTAGTGGTTAATCACATACTGTTGACTCTCCCCTGGAAGAAGAGAATGAGTGGAACAGGCAGTAGAGGGAATCCTTACTTCTTGGAGCCGGTCTGAGTCCCCTGGGCAGCGCAGGTGTAATTTCCAATGAGGCTCCCGAAGCGCACGGCTACTGCTGTGTCACAGTCGTCCACAGTCACCACTGCCACCTTCTCTCCAGAGGGCCCATGGGGAATTCCTAATCGCCCAATGTTGGGCTTCAAGAAAGAATTGGCACATGTCATAAAGTCCTACGTACACATGGGGTTTAGATGCTGGTTCAGCCAGCTCAACAACATACTTTGTCCTACCCCCAAAGGGGACTAAAATTGGTTATGTAAACAAAACAGCAGAAGTTAACTTGACCTATGACATTTAGGCAAGAAAAAAAACCCAATGGATGACTTCAGAGAGAGTTTACAGTGGGATATACAGCATGGCCAGAAATGGCTTTGGGCTTTTCCACCGCTGAACTTCAAAGAGGCTTTTTCTTAAGTCTGCATAGCAAACTCTAACAATTCTGCTCATTTTGTAACTCTTCACCTCAAATGAAAGAAGTCACTTGAATTTTGACATTGTTTCTGCCCAAACACAGAAAACCATAAAATGATGTAATGTCAGGAGTGAGGCTAAATAAAGGCTTAAGTCAAATTTTCTCCAATGGGGATACTCTGTCAGGGCCACCAGAAACTAAGTGCAGGTTCTTATAAAGCTGTAGTGAAAGGTTGTCTCATAACTGGGAGGGGGCTTAGATAATGACCTCTCATTTCAACTACAAGATAGAAAGTGTGTATAAAGGCCAGCATAGCAGCCTTAGTAAAGAACTAGCCAATTCTGTAAGAAAACTGTTTTCCATGTTTAGCATTTGCAGAACTACCGAACCCTAATCTACCACCGGCGCAGGATCTCTGCAGACTTCAGGGGTTCAGGAGAAGCTGAACGAGCCTGAGTGCTGTTGTTCCTCTATGAGCAAAGGGAAACCCCACAAGAGTGGAGTCACCAGGATCTGACCAGACATATGGCACAGCCGAAAGCCATAGAGGTATTCTTATGATGTGTTGATCAACAGTAGTTATAACCATATGAAAACAGCAGACAGCTGGACATTTGCACTATAGTTTGCTGTATGGACACTTTAAAACATATATTACTCAACTGCATACTGAAATCCCTTATTTGCAGAGTAAATGCAGAAGCAGTACAGGGATAAGTGCCCATTGTTTTTGTTTCGGTTGTACACACATAAATTTGTTAAAATACATACAGCCATTTTGATCACGCATCAAAATGAAATACAGATTTATTTCTAAGGACAATTATCCCAACGTATAAAAACATTTTTAAAAGCTGCTTCCTGGTGTCAATTCCAGTTGGAAAGTATTTTCCATTTCCTCTACCAAGAACTAATGTGATCACATATTTTGGCAGTGGCACAGTATAAGGTTTTGAACTCTCCTGAGTGATATTAAGTCAGATTTTATTTTTTCCGATACTCCCAGGCCTTTGCCACTGCCTAGCCTGGAACGACAGGAAGCCTACATATTTGCAGTGCTGAAAATGTTATTGTGTTAGATGATGGCAGTGTTTGTTAGTGAGCAGCTTTTCAAAGTGAATGAAAAATTACATAGAAAATTAACGAAGCCACTGGCAGCCCTTCCCTTCCAAAATTAAAATGTTTACATTCTGGGTGCTACTCCTATTCATTTGAAGGAACGATCCGATTGACATTTGTGGTTTTGTGCTTCACTGACATAACCTATTGTTTCTTACATGGGCGCCTTGACAAAGGCAGGGTAGTTATTCTCGCAGCAGGGGGGATCTGCCCAATGTTAATCAAGATTGCAACCTGATGAGAGTCAGCAGTTTGCAGCTGCTCCTTCACAGTCAACTAGCTGCAGTGGCGCACTGAGTTTTTCTGTACTTCTATTAACACAGAAACTGCAAAGCGTTTCGCTAGATGTTGACTGTTCATTGCAGTGCAGATCTCCAGCATCTTTTTGGCTCTGATAACCACACAGAACAACAAGCTGATGAAGAAGAAATAGAATATTCCAGTGAATGAAAAGAGACCTACTTGCAGTTCATACTTAATTCAAACACGCCATAATTTTCTGACCATGTCAAAAGGCTCATTTGACACAAAAGGCTTTTCCCAAAATGTAAGAATATGTTGATGGGAGGAGAAAGAGAGATTTTTCTAGCTGATTTAATAGGACATGGACTCTTTTTTCTCTTATATACGGCAAGTGCTACACTACTCATCATCTCAGCGCCTAGTATAGGGAATACTTTATCAACTGAAATAATGTGAAATAGTTAAAAAGACTGGAACAGAGGGAGCCCAAGTTAGGAGCTCTTTCAGAGTTACATCATGAAACTGACTTTATTCATTTAATATTTTGATTAATACTAAATATAGTTTGCTGGTGAATCAAAGGATATTTAGAGCATTGTGCATATGAATAGTTGAGTGCTACAAAGAGAATTAATCACACAGCATGAAACTTGGGGTCTAACGACAAGAATTCCTATAGCAGGTTCAGAGACCATCAGCTATAAATGATGAAAAGTAAGAAATATATAGCTATTAATTGACTACAAAACAATTATGCCTCATGGAGTGATTAAAAGGCAAAAAAAGGCAATACAACAGTGGCTTGTTGGGCATGAGAGAAATTTCATGACACTGAACAAGACAGAATATTTTTGACCATTTTGAGTTCATTTATTAAAAATAACTTTTATCTAGAGCATATGCAGCCAGAGCAATGGAAAGCTTACCTTATCAAACAGACAAAATGGACTTGGCTTCTTTGGCCTAGCAAAGTAAAGGCTGGGGAAGGGTTTTGGAAAAGAGAAGACGCTGTTACTGCAACAGACAAATTGCAGAACAAATGGGTATAAGATGCCCATGAGTAAAGCAAGCTGGAAGGCACCAGGTGATGCTCAGTCATAGGAGGATCATCACTGGGAAAACAGCAAGGGCGAAAATTATAAAAAAGAGCTTAATTTGTTTGTGAAATACGCACAAAAGTGAATTGCCAACACTAAATGGTAGCACACACATTCACATTTCAGGCATGATCTTTGCCTCGATGGAATCCTACTGGAGCAAGACTGATCCCTAACAGTAGGAACAGCTAACACTAACCAGCATTAATTTACACTACTATTTTCTGGAAAAATGTTCAACGAGTTAAAAGCCAGACTTTCATCTGGGTACTTAGGAGTCCTTTCTGCCTGTCAGCCTCATCTCCTGAAACCCCATGCTACCCTAAAGGCAAGTTTCATTAGCTGTGCCAGTTCTGCACCCATGAGTAAATGTGCAATGTGGTGTACAGGAATTTACCAGCATGACCCCCATTAATGGTAATACAAGTCATGTAACTGAGTTACTGCTCATGGGGCTGAAAATTTACCTTGTGCTGCCTAACCCTAAAGGCTCCTTTTTTTCCCAGAAAGAGGTTGGGATTCAAACTTCAAAGACCGCATGCTGTAAAATTAAGCAGCAAGAACGGGTACCAAACAGTGCTAGAGACAGAACCTGGTCTCCCTTAAACAAAAACTTGGAAAACTGGATTTATCCTGGACTCAAAAAGGAAAAAAAAGAAAGCAGTCCTAAGTGTTGCAGTCTATTATCACAATTACACAGTGATCTTCAAACGTCCTGTGAACTCCATATAAAGCGTGTCGAGTCTGTTGTACTGACCCTTTTCTTGTTATAATCACATACAAAGTCACTTGGAGAAGAAGCAGCCCTGACTCAGGATCCACATGTGAGAGCAGAAGGCACCTACCTTTCTTTCTATCTGTAAAGTAAGATGAACCATATTTATGTTCCTCAAATAATGGCAATTAGTACCTAACATTGTACCTAATGTCATGAAATAACTTTGCCTCACTGTGCTTTCCTGAAGGAAATTAGTGGTTTTGATCTATGGATGGACAATCTCAAATCTCGCGTCTAACCCCTGACACTCAACCCTGTCCAGAGTCACGGGCAGATTGCATGAATGACAGCTTCCCTTTCTGACCACAGTGGAATTAACAGAGACTCATCTACTGTCCTCAGTGGTGACCTGGAGGAGTGACCTTCTCCAGCTGCAAAGGTGCATGCAACTCCCTTTGGCCACCTGCGCTGACTTTCTCAGGTTGCAGTGAGAGAACAGCACCACGAAGGTACTTTACTAGTGATGCCAAACCTGATTTCTGTGAAACCCAAGTACAGAGCAATGAACTGTTTGGACTTCTCCCCACAGCTTCAGCAAAAACACATGTAGATTCTCCCAGGTGCATGCAAAAACCCTGAGAAGCTTAATCTGTGAACTTATGTTTTATAAATGAAGACCAGATAGAGGAGAAAAGGTCATCAAAACGCATCTGTTTGTAGTTTGCAAATCTACTGCACAAATCTACTCCCATTCCACTTGAAACACTAGACATGGATATTCCTCTGTATCTCAGTTTCATTGGAATCCTCTATTATTTTAAAGTCAATATTTAAACTGCGGGAGCCCACACAGTTACTTATTAAAGACACAGATGGTCTAACGAAGCAGAGTGAAGTGGAAAAGGCAAACAGATTAAGGGACAATAGAAGCCTTGTCTTAAATACTTAACTGTTATGTTTTCACATTAAAAATACCACTGTTTTGAAAAGTCATGATGCAGAATTGTTGGAAAGGTTTAAGCAAATAGTCCAATCTTTGTAACCTTATTTTGAATTAAACCAGACTAGATACTGTACATGCAATAGAAATACTACAAAGTGCAAATGTTTGTTTAGTCAATCAGCAGCAGCAGTGACACTCAGATTCCTAGATCCCACCCTTTTATTAGTTAATCTGCAAGATAACAGTGCTTTTCCAAAGGTCCCACAAACATCTCCTCTACCAGAAACACCTTTTCCCAACTTTCATTCTTAGATAAACAATTGCCACTTGACTTTTCCCACAGATGGAAAGAGGGAGAGTGTTTTTGTCTGGCCATGGGAGTGTTCCAACATCACAGATATTCCCTGAACTCAAACTGAAAGCTGTGCCCTCCATCCCAAACCTTGGCTATGAGGATTTCCACCACTTTAGCCATGCCATTGAGCCTTTTGAAGGAGCTTGAGGAGACGATTCAGCAGCAGACTGTAAATATGGCCAAGACTTTGGGAACACAAACTAGGAACCCTTGCAGATGAGACATAACCCACCTCATTATTCTCAGCATGAGGAGACCTGTTTTCTTGGGGGACAGATATAATGTTGTATAGCTTAAATACTGCATTTGCTCAGCTCACTGTACTCATTCAAAAATGTATCTATTTTTAGGAAGTTGGTCTTTTTCTAAATGCTTTGTGTGGCATAGCTTTAATATGCAGAGCTTGACTTGCCTTTTTAATAAGTGCAAAAGTGTAAAAAGAAAAGCCATCCTGAAGTCAGTGCCAGCCTTTCAGTGCTTCCAAGAGTCTGCTTACCGGACAATAAGTTACCCTTCTGTTTTTGTTAATCAGTAGCTAATGATTTATTGACTGTTTGGAGTGGTTAAAGGTTAAAAAGAATCTGTTTCCTAGTTATTTTTAATACAAAAACTCCTCTCCTATGCACTGTTAGTGTGTTGGTTCTGACCCCACCACCACCCAAAGTTATGGGTGGAAAATGCCTCATGTTCATACCCTTTGGGGCTCTTTGCTTTCTAACACTTCCACCTACACTAACAATGGGAAGAAATGGAGCAACTGGCATCAAGTCCCACTGGAGGCTGCTGCTGGGACTCCGGCCGAGTCCCCCCCCTTATGGGATCCCTGGTGCTCATTAGGCAGCCTGCCAGGCGCCCGGCTCCTTCGTTAACCCGCCAGCCTCTGCTCTGCTATCTGCCGTGGGGAAGGGAGAACTCCCCTCCCGTTCCCAGGCGATGCTGTGCTGCTTCAGTGGTCAAAAAGCTCATTAAGGGCTCGAGGCGGCGGCAGTCTCCCTGGGCAAGCTGCTGGAGCCCAGCCCCCCACAAGGGAATAAATAAATAAACAGGAAAAAAACCCAAAACGGGGAAAGCGCCACACTTGTAATCCCAGGGGCAGACGAGGAAATGCCAGAGAAGTTTAGCGCCACGGTTTGCAGACCATTCTGATCCATCGGGAAACTCCAAATTAGGCCAGATTAGAGGAACTGTTAACGTTAATCTGCGCTTTTTAAAGTTTCCTCCTACAGCTTTTCCAGAGCACCTTTAAAATGAAGCGGTGTGAATCCTTTACACATCCTGATTAGTCACCAGGGAAAGGCAGGACAAATCATTTCACATAAACCCCTTACTCCTTTGATGTATGTATCCCCTTTATTCCCCAAATATTTTAATGGCATTTCTTTACACAAACTTGGCTCCAGTGTGTAGAGAAACATGAGAGCCTGTGACAGTGAAAAGGAAAACTAAAAGGCTTCCCATCAGTGAGTCAAAAATGCAAATCCTGAAAAGCCACCAGACCAGTTCCTTTTCCTAGACAAACTCCCTGAAACACGGATTGTCAGGAGCAAGGCTGGGCTACAAAGTCAAGCAAGTTTTACTACCCTGATCTGTTATCTCCTTCACGGGCACATCCAGAGGCTAAACTTTGATATTCAAAGCAGGAGGCTTAAGGCACAGCTATGAGACCTGTCACGCGTGAACAGCATGACCTGAATTGCTGCTGCTCTTTCAGTGGCAGGGCAGAGAGGGAAGCAGCCCTCCTGTCCCACCATGGGGACAAGGTAAAGCTGTTACACATACACAGCATCCAGACTTGCTCCTTCCCTCCACAGAGTATGGCCAGTACCTTCACAAATATCATCCCGCTCCTGCAAAGGGTATATTCTTGGATTTGACTAATTCTGTCAAAGGCTGTGCAGTGCTCATGGGAAGAACGGGTTTTCCCTGCTTGCAAATGGAAATTTTATCCTCAAATTTGTATTCCCAGGTGCTTCTCAGCTCTTTGATGCTGAATCAGTGACTCAGCAAGAAGGACCTGTTTTGGCTGTCAAGAGACCATGCCCACTCCCCAAGACAACATTCAACTTTCTGCATGGGAGACACCACTCACGGTGCTCTGTTGCTGCGGCCCCTCTCTTCCATACTGTGCAGCCCACTCCTCCCCTTTGATAAGCTCCTGTGGCTGTTGCACCTTCCCCCTGCTCTCCAAACCCTTTTTTTTTCTCTGTTTTGCTGCCTCCCTGCCTTTCACCAACAAGGATGTTCTTCCAGCATCTTCGGAGACTGGGAAACATGAGGGATGCTAAAAGAGCATGCTCTCCTCTCCTAGTTCATCAAACCCTTCTCCCTTTGCCACTTGTCCATATCTACATACCAAAGAACCACTCTCAAATATTTTTGGCTTTATATAAATTTTGTAAGCTTGTAATCCAGGATGCAAATGTCATTGCTGACAGACTCCAAGGAATACCTAGAAATAGCAGAATGTGACACTCACAGCAACTAACTCCTTCTCCTTGAACTCATCCCTGGTGATACCTTGCCAAGCAAACTGCTGCTCAGTGTGGCTGATGGGGACACAGCTATGTCTATAAAATCCAAGAATCCCACACTGGATCTTTGCAAGGGTCTCCTGGTACACACAGACCTCTCCATGGCCAGGTAACTGCAAACTGCTGCTTCCCCTCACTACAGAGACAGATGCAAAATACCTGAAAAGTTACTGCAAATCAGGCAGCTACTGTAGATTTACTGAGTGATTAAATGGAGATAACAGCGCACTTCAAAGAACTCGCACCAAATTCCTGAGGTGCCATTTCGTTGACTCTGCTGGCTTTGCACCAGGCTAGGCTGCACAGCACAGCCTTCAAGCACCGTCCTCAGGCCTTGTGGTGAGCCAAGGGCCATTCAGACTCAGCCAGCTCTCATGGAGGTCCCTTGCATCTCCTTGGCCTTCAGGAGGAGCTGAAAATCACCATTCTGGAGAGTAAACCTCTGAGGAGTTTTGTGGTGTGATGGTGGTATTAGATGGTACTTAGATGGCTTGAATGAACCCAGCTCCTGTGTGGGGTGGGCAGTGCTGTAACTGGGCACACAAATCAAGCCTTTTAAAACTTGGGAGGAGTGAGAGGAGTAAACGCTGAACAGCATTTCTGAGGATGAGCCTTGCAGAAGAGGAGGGGCTTGGGTTGGCTTTGCATGACATGGTCCCTATTGCCACTTAGAGAGCAAAAAACCTGTGGATGGTTTCTGAAAAGTTACTGTTTGCATTTGGTTATAAAATCACTGCCACAACAAGGAACGTTTTCAGATGGTGTTTGCAAACTGTGAGAACACCACTTCCAAAAGCAGGTTGTAGGAGAGAAAGACGCAGGCACTGGGTATGAGCTCGCCCTCTTCCTCCCCAGCTACCAGAGAGACTTCTCAAAGCTATCATGGAGAGCTGAGGAGCAGGTCACACTTCGCATCTCAGTGACCCCCAAATGACTTTCACTGCTTTACACTTTCATTTCCCGAGACACAGATTTAGAGGCGAGTTATTTGTTATTTTGTGTCAAGACAATGGAATGTCGCTCTGCCGCCAAATCCTGATTTCCTTTCCCAGATATCAATCACTTCGCACTTACTCTCTACCAGAAAGAAACCCCCCAAAATCAACAAAAACAATGACTACTAATGCAGGATGAATAAGTGTCAGTGCAGTTACAGGGAGGGGCTTTTAAAGCCCAAGCTCACGTGTTCTGCAACGGCAGATCAGCTTCCCCCCACCCCGAACACCTGCAAAGGCTCTGCAACCACATTTGAGAGGACCAAGAGAAAGTAAATATTAGCCAGGCAGCCCTTCAGTGCTTCTCAGGAGATGTCAGGAATGTAAATGGTTGCCACAGGCCAGACCAAAGTCCCGCTCAGGGTGTGGTAGGTGCTGTGGAAGAGCCTAAAAGCAGGGCAAATGTGCAGCAAAACTTCGCTTGTCCTCCTGGGTCTCGGCTTCCTACCTGCAATACTGCAGGCTGGAGCTCGGGATGGGTTTTCACAGGATCATGCCATATTTTATGGATGGAAGTGACTCATCATATAATCAGTCTTGGTCTTATACAGCCATAGAACATCAGCCAGTGAGTCCTGCTTCAATAGCAATGCTTGCACTCAAGCTGAATTTTTCCTTTAGAAAGGGAAATACTGGCTTGATGTAATGATTTAAAAGGACAGAGCGACTATCAGAACTGTGGGAAGATTGTCCATGACAGGAGGGTTGGAAACAGATGATCTTTAAAGTCCCTTCCAACCCAAACCATTCTGTGATTCTAGGATTTCTAATCAGAACCTGTCAAGCTTCATTTTGTTATGTACCAAGTCTGTGGTCTTACCTAGACTCGGAACTTCCTTCATGATGCTCTGGATCTCTATGAAAAAATGAGTTTGGCCTCAGCAAGGACAGGAGTTTCTGAATCTTCAGCCAGAATGCCAGGAAATGACTCATAAACCAAACTATTTTTGCAGAGATTACCTTTTTTTGTGGCATTATAAAAACTGAGTTCTGACCACGTAGGAAATGACATGTTTTACATCATGACATGAGGAACATGTTTTATGTGTTTGACTAGAACAACAGTTTGAATGTACGGGGTTGGCATGCATTCAGCAATGGAAAGCCTAATTTCTTCCCCTTCCTTTAGCTGCTTGTAATTTTAATTGATAGGTTTTTTTAAACGGCCATGCCCACTTGCTCCAAAAATAAATAGGACAGATTAATACAAATGCACAGCTACAAATTCCTCACACCCTCACACTGTACATGTGCCTCCAGCACTGCCTACTGTATGCTTCACAAGCCTGCCCACCAGAAAGCACTATACCCTGCTGATAGACTAACTCTTGCTCTTGTAAGAAAGTTGTGAAAGAACTATCATAGCCAGCATCTGGCTAACAATACTAACAATAAGCAAAAACTCATTGATACCTCGAGTTGAAAAGTAAATGAAACATGCACATCCCTCTAGATGTTTGTTACAAATATTGGTTGTACTAGCACAGAAAGTGACTTTTTCACTTGAAAAGTGATTTTTTTTCCTCATCTAACTGAAGAGACCCCAGCAACTTGCTCTGTGAAGAAGAGGCCCTGCAATTACACAGGTAAACACAGATAAGTCCTTCTCAAAACTAGAGGAATGAATTGAGTGCGGTCACACTCCCTGTGTTTTTGGTGTCCTGCAAGCTTTTCTCTGCTTAAGCTATGGCGGAATTTTTGATCCCACGAAAATGCCATAGAAGGAAAGACATCCAGCACAAATTGATGATCTGGTGAAGTATAACACCAGTGCTCTGCTGGAAGTTAGCACTGTCCACTGCCTCCTCCTTGCTGTGCCACCACTGATCTCTGCAACCCTGCTATATGTTCACAATGAGACAAGTGATAAGGAAATGATACAATTAGAAATATGATTAAATCTTAAGTAAGAATATGCTAGTTTTTTTAAGAGGAAGCACTAAATTTTAACACATGTTCTTCTTTGCCCACTTGAGAGGGCTTTTAAAAGCTGTATTGGCATTTCTTAGCAATAGTACGCACCTTGGTTTGGAAATGCAGACTCACAAAATTATACTTCCTGGAAAAATATGCTCAGAGAAGTAGGTTGTTCCTAACTGAATGACATGTTCAGTATTTACAGTACCCTGCCCCCCCAAATATTTGCTTAACAGTACAATTAATGTTCTGCATTTTTCTTTACCAGACGATGCCAAGCCATACTAGAGCAGGCCGGTGTTGATCACAGATGCTGTAATCACAGCAAGTCAATCTGAGCCAGCAAAACCCAAACTGTGGTGGGGCCCACATTTGATAAACAGTGGCATTATCATAATCTTCAATAACTGCATTGTTTATTTAGAAAATCTCCCTCAATCCCTTAACAAATTAGTCTGCAAGCCACCGGGAGGATTAACTTCAGAAATTCTCCCTCAGATCACAATTACATCTGCTCAGATGTCACAAGTGATAGACATTTGCATAAGTCATACCCAGCCTTTATTACTTACTGAATCTCCAGTGATGTGACTCCTTTTGGGGTCTGTCTTTTCCAACTGAGTTACAAAGCACACCACTTGGCAGGGGCAACCATGCCCTGGTGTGCAAGGTGCTCCCAGGCACACTTGTTTAATTGCCCACCACTGTTCCTGACCATTGAGATTAAGAAGTAAACGATACTGCATCGTGTCCTGGGTACTGTCAGGGCAAAGTCTTTCACCTTGGGTCCAGTGACTAGAAGTTATGCCTAGCTGGTGCAGCTATGTGGCTCTTCTCCAAGGAGCTGGCAATCCCTATTCAGCCGCAGGCATATATGCCTCATAACTTACCCACGGCACTGGCAGCCTCACTGGCAGGCTTGGACGGGAGACCCAGAGCTGAGCAAACAAGGCTCCATGCTTGAAGGGTAGCCCCTGCCAATGGGGCAGTGTGGTAGTGGGTGGCCCAGGGAAGCCCATGTGGAGCTGCTGTGTGACGCTTGTGTTTGCCTGTTGGTCATGGGGGGGCACCGTGAACCCAGCACTTAAAACAAGAATTAGCTCCCTTTATGGGAGAGAAAGCAGTAACCAGTGTCATCTGTGTCTTTTGGCACAGTCGTCAAGGTCTGAGTTTCACTAAAACATTGATATTTGCCTTTCTCCCCACTCCCCCAAGGGAAAGTGGTGAAATCAATTATTGGTCCTGAATAAAGAATGTATTTAATATATTTCCATAACAGATGAATTTGCGATCATCAAAGAGGGTCTGTGTTTTCAGAAGGAAACAAGATAACCTATCTGCTAGCTTCACAGGCACCTGGTGCAGGGCATGCCTGCCATAGCCAGCATGCCTCTTATGGTCTCTGCAGCAGACCATCAGAGGTTATTGTATTTCATCCCACCCTATTCAAAATAAAGTGCTACATTAACCTCTCCAAAACAGACCAGCACTGCTCTCACTGCCTGTGACTGCCCATGCCACTTGTGCTTAGGGAGGTATTTGGATTAAACTCAGGTCCTGCCTGCCCATAGCAGGGGAATGTGAACGGCCACCAAGCTTCCAGGTGCCCATGAGTGCACCAGCATGCAACCCTACAGATCTTGACTTTTGGGGGTACAGCTGTGTCACTCCCCAGGGACTGGTGGCTAGGTCAAATCTGGTCCCAGTGGCTCTTGGGTGGGACAACAGGAGTGGACCTGAGTTTCTGAAAGGGCAGGTTTGCATACGCATCCTCAAGTCCTTCAGCACTGATCTGCCCCTGGCCATTGTTAGGCAGCTGCACTACACAGGATCCCAGAATCAAAACAGAGGCTCTAGTTAAACAAAGACAGTGATGAATGCTAGAGATTTGCTATAAAGATAATCCTAAAGATAATTTCACTAATGAGTAGCAGGCATAACGCATGTAAGAGTATGAGTAAATGCAGGGGTTGTATAAGACTGAGCTCAAGAGCTTACGCTTTCTATATGGTCAGCTGAAGCAGGTGCTCTGTACAAGCAAGGCATGCTTCAGCAAGACACATCATGCATCTAAGTGAATCTGTGCCATCCTTGCTGCGGGGTGCAACAGCTCCCTCTACATCTGCTGGTGGGCCCTGGAGACTACTACACACTCCTCATCCCCACCACCTCTGCAGCTACCCTATGAGACTGATGCTTGTTTCTTGCTTAGTGTCATTGTTTAACCCCAGCAAGCAGCTAAGCCCCACACAGCCACTCACTCACTCCCCTCAAAGTGGGATGGGGATGAGAACTGGAAGGGTGAGTGTGAGCAAACTCATGGGTTGAGATTAAGACAGTTTAATAAGTAAAGCAAAACTAGGAATTCATTCCCCACTTCCCACGGGTGGGCAGGTGTTCAGCCATCTCCAGGACAGCAGGGCTTCATCACATGTAGCAGTTACTAGGGAAGACAAACGCTGTAACTCCAAATATTTCCCTCTTCCTCCTTTCCCACAGCTACCTCTTGGCATCAGTGGCCAGTCTGTGGGGCACTACTAGTGATCCACAGTATGAAGCAGGCTCCAAACAGTAAGTTCTGCTGGTGCCACAGCACAGCTGTATGGCCATGGTTAATAACCCCTCAGGATCATCTTTGGCAGAGGAACCCATGGAAGAGGGAAAAAGCTGCCTTGCCATTCACTCGCCTGCCGGCTGAGCAAGCACAAAGGGAGAGATGCAGCATGCACCCAAGGAACAGAACATCAATTACAGCTCAGGACTTGGCACTGAAACAGAGGGTGTTCTGGCACCTGGAAACAGCTTCCAGCCAATGGATGAGGGATAGATCCTCCCTGGGAAGGAAAGGTACTGGCAAAATGTAGTGTGCGAGTGGGCTGAGAACTAAATCTCTACAGCATTAGCTCAGTCTTTGGTGATGCTCAAGCTCCAGCTTGCCCAGATGAAGGCCAGTTAACTCAAGAGGAACCATCATTTACCACAGGCAGGAGACTTTTGAAAGCATATGTGAGTCTGATTCAGAGCAATGCATCTCCTGTGCTTTGAATTCACAACACACCGAGTATCAGCCCTAACAGCCCCTCATTTCTTTTAAGTTTATCTCTAACTGAAGAATTTGCCTGTCTTCCCAGCAGCTGTCTTCAGGCCAAATACAGGTCTGGGCTCTGCCGGGTGGGAAGTGCACAGGGATGGAAAGCAGCAGGTCCCTGCTAAATGTAACTGCTGTGAAAGGGTGGGTTACCCCTAAGAGAGTCAAGCATCAACAACCACAGCACTCTTCTGTCCAAAGACATGCAAGGAAGGAGTGAATGAGCGGCAGCTTACTACCAATTACCAAATATGAGAGGAAAACTTATCCCAGTTATGGAAAAAAGAGTAACGTTTGTCCTTACTCTCTCATCCTAGGAGCCTGAAGGCTCAAGGGACCAGTACAGTGGAGACACCCTCCAAGGCACCCATCATTTTACACCTCCTGAGCATGGAGGTGTCCATCCCAAGCACACCCACTGCTCGGTCTTACATCCCTTACTCTTGTGAGTAATTCTGTGAGTCATTCAGGGATTTGTTTATCTCATCTTCCAGAACTACTGTGCTCCACATCAGACACTCTTTGAGAGCACCTTTCTCTCTACTATTCTCCGGTTTTCTGTCATTTAGGTAAAGCTATCCTGTGTCTCCTTAAACAGACCCAGAAGGAGCTTCTGCCTACAGAACAGTCACGTCCTTAAGCAACTTTGATGTCATATATGTGTAAGTAACACATAAGATATACAGTATATAAATATACATGTACATGCCCCGTATAATTAAAAGAACATGTCTCTACTCAAAACATTTTTATCTTGTGCCAAATGATGAATTCTAGCCTGAGGTAATGAGTCAGGTAAAACACTAACATAAATTTGCTGGGGTATCTCAAATTCTGAACAAAATTGCATTTCTGTCATCAGAAGTCTGTGAGAGTGGCTTGAAGTTTTAACTTAATTAAAAACACCACCAGAATCCCCTGTCCCAAGCACTGCCTATAATCATATATGATCATGTGTGTGCAACGAATGCCAGATATTCCATGTGATATCACTGATACTGAGCATCATTCCCATCAAAAATCCTGGTGGTTTTGCTCCTATTCCAAATCCGTATCAGCATGGCTAAACCTACTGCCTGTTACTCATGCCAGTAGGCTAAGGACCAAAGGGCCAGGGCTGACTAAACTGTCATCGTGTGGAAAGGAAGCACATTACCAAGGCAAAGAGGGCAGCTCACACCGCTGCTGCCCTTTATGCCAGCTATCCTGTGAACAAGCAGCAAGTTGTTCCTGCTGTTGTCTATCAGTTTTGTTTGTCAGGCTGAAATCTTCCCCCTTTTCACACCCGTCTCTCCAAAATAATATAAAAAGTCCCATTTCTTGTGAATTTCTTATATACCTCTTGAGAAAGCAGGTCACATGCAGGTCACCTTTAA